AACCCACTTGGAAAGTTGGTATTTCAACCGCTGTTTATTGAACGTGACGTCTTGGCAAATTGGCTGGGCACGTACTTGTTAGTAAGCACCTTAATCCTTTTCATCGCAATTGGAGCTGGGCGCAGCGCGACCGCTCTTCGTATCATCTTCCTTGGCATTTGCTGCTTCGGTCTGCTCCCTGCAGTCCACTATGTGCGGAAAGGCTACAGTGAGCCTCGGGAGTGCTTTGCAACATCTTCTTTAGGACTTCAGGACTCGAGCATTAGCTAAGAAGGAGACAGCCGGAATCAGCGTGTGTATCCAACAGCTGAGGAGCAGGAGCAGATATCTCAGAGCCTCAGCCAGTTTGACGTCAGTGCGTTGCAATGTTTCAGCGACTTCGATAAGCGCTTTATCCACTCCGCCGTGATGCAGTGGTACGGAAGCCTTGAGGACTTTAACATGTTCGTTCGGGGTCCTCTCAAGGATGAGATCTTGCAGACGATGCTGGTGAGCCGAGTGCCGCTTCACTACATCATCCTGAGCATCACCCCCGTCACGGGCATTCAGCTTGATTTGCTGGCAGCTTTGCTGGCTGCAGGGCTCCCCTTTGAGGCATGGGGCAAATGGCTGTTTGGCCAACTCCTGGCTCTGAACATGTTGGTAGCATCTGGGCCCCGGTTCAGGACGTCCTTTTTATTCTTTGAAGAACTCTTCACTGTAAGCCCTAGCCAGATCTGAAGAACATGCTGATAGGCTGAACCTCAAGAACGGCTAAGACTTAAGTGTTTGCTATAGCATGCTGTGCTGCGAAGGTGTGTGAAACGAAGTGCTTCTTCTGGTTATCAAAACGGTTTGCAAAGCCGCTTTTCTCCCATCCAGCTCTGGATTTTGGGCAGACTCTTTTGGTGGTCCTCCTGTTTGCCTGTTGCCTGCTTCCCCCCTTCTTCGTCGTGTTCATAGCCTACAACGCAAGTCTGATGGGTGCCATATTCACGTCTCTGGCTGCCGTTGCCATTCTGGGCATCACCTTTTCCACAAGA